GCCCCGCCTCCCGCGCAGGGGCGCACGTTGCCCCCTAGCCCGCGGGGAGCCTGGGCGGGACCTGGCGGTCGCGGTCAGGCCGCGGCCTGGGAGAGCGCACGTGAGGGCTCACACTCCTCCAGCTCGGAGGAAGGCGACGCTGAGAATGGCACGGGGGTGGGGGGGCCACTCTGCAGCCCCTGCCCCTCGGCCCCTCGCTATCCTCAGTGCTCAGGGCACACCCATACACCCCGCCCTCGCGGGCCTCAACCCGCCTGCCACCGGGCTCCCAGCCTCTCATCCAACCACAGCTATTTCCAGGAAGGGGGAGTGTGGGTGGAGGGGTTTCTACAAACAAACCCAAGGCTTCTGCGGGAGAGGGGGCCAGGCCGGGCAGCAGACAGGCCATGGAATGTTCCGGGAGGAGGGTGGCAAGGGCCCTAAGGGGTCTCGGCCCTCCCCCAGGGAGCTGCTTCTCTCATCTCCCTCTGAAGCATCAGCACTCCCCCATATCCATCTTCCCCAGAGGTGCTCCACGGAGTGGGGAGGCCCCAAAGTCAGGCTCCCTGGGCTGCCCAGCAGGAAGATGAGGAGCAAGTACCCCGTGATATTTGGGGAACCTGCTCAGGTGAGGCAACTACCCAGTGCGGGGCAAAGAATAGACAGCCAGCTGCTGGAGAGGTCCTGGGCGGGGATGGGCACTAGGCACAGGGAAAAGGCACCCCACCACAGCTGGGCTGGGGACTGACCAGGCCAGACCCAGCTGCCCACACTGGCCGAGAGCCTGGAATGTCCTGGGGCCCCGCCAGGGCTGGCGGGTGGGAGGGGGCTGAAGAGCCAGGGCCGCTGCAGTTACAGGCCAGGGGCCCCCGCCTTGCCACACAGAGGGCACCCGCCCGCCAAGGATCCCTGGGGACAGCTTCCTGCCCTAGCGGGACAGTCAGCTTCCAGAAGATGCTGCAGACTAGGCCCAGCTCAGGGAAGTCCAGGGAGGTGTCCTGCGTGGACCTCCATGAGGGGACTCACCCCACATGGGCATAAGGGAGGGAGAAGGGGAAGCCCAAGGACCCGGTAGGGGAAGCTGGAGCTGGGCGCTGTGAACTTTGGGACATTCAGTAAATGCCATGCCGATGTGGGGGGCGGTCACATTTCCATATTAGTGACCGCTGTGACCAGCGGAAGGGGCTGCTATCCAAGGCCTGGAGCCAAGGAACGCCCAGGCCATCTATTAACCCCTTGTATTTTTGGAAGATGACCCCTTCCCTTTCCCAAGGTCCCAGTCCACCTCCTTCCCTTGACTCCTGGGACAGGAAGTTGGCCATGTTCCCAGGAGGGAGGCAGGAAGACTGTGGGGAGGGTGGCGTTGTTAGGAGAAGGCCGCCTGTCCAGTCCTCGCCCTGGGACAGCTGCTCAGCAAGGAGAGCCATGAAGGTAGTCCTCTGGCCTGGGGGTGGTGTCCGGCCCAGCCCTAGCACTGGGGCGGAGGGCCTAAGTGGCAGGGCTGGGAAGAGGAGCGCAGGACCTGAGATGGTCAGCCAGGCAAAGCCAGGGAATGGGTGGGGGTGGCTCTCAGGAGAAGGTCCTGAAATGCCTGGGGCTGGAGCCCGACAATGACCCACGCCTGTGGGCACAGCAGCCGCTGGCTAGAAAGTGGCCTTCTGTGTATGGGGGAAAGGGCACAAGCTGTGAGGAGGAGGCAGGAAGGTGGCCCTCTGGCCCTCAGGGTACACTCCAGAGCTCGGCTGGCTGGGCTGGGCCGGGCTAGTCAGTCCCAACCCCCCCCCCCTGCCTGCCCCGTGCAAGTCCCCAGAGACCTGAGCGTTCTGGCTGGCTAGGTGGCCCTGCTGAACACCGTGTTCCCGGCTGGCCCTTGAGCCCAGCCCTGAGACCCAAATTCCCACCCTGCCGGCCCCGCCCCGTCAGGGGCTGGGCCTCAGAATCCCCAAAGATCCCAGGATGGGGTGGATCCTGTTCTGTCCCAACTTCTGTGACCGGCCGCAAGACAGGAAGGCAGGAGGCAGAGAGGCTGAGCAAGCAGAGGTTATTGCTCCCGGACAGCCCCTAGGGTGGGCTCCGTAGCTACTGCCCACTCAGTAAGGGGGAAAGGGTCTTTTATACAGACCTAGGTTCACATTCCAAGGTGACTCATCGCTGTGTCCCCTGGTACTAGGTCCAGTTCCTCCCACCTGTGTCTCCCCAATGCGAGGCCCAGCTGACTATCAGTTTGTTACCCCCTCAGCTAGGCCCTATCAAGCTCGGATGCAAGGCTCGATTCTTCCCTTGTCAGCAAATCTTTGGTCACTGCCAACAGATCCCTGGGCAGGGGCAGCTCCAGAGGGAGGCGGAGGAGGGAGGCAAAAGACCCAAACTGACACTCCCAGCAGGGGGGGGGGGGGCAGGGGTCTGATCTCAGGCCTCCTCCACATCCTCCCCCACCCCCCACTTCCTGGAGCAGCGACCTGCCCCCTTCCCGCCTACACCCCCCCTCCACTTCCAGGGCTGGGGCTCTCCTCACACACCTCCGCCCAGGGGAAGCGCCGCTCCGCCAGGCTGCTTCCAGGAAGCCCCGGCCAGGCCCCAGCATTGTTCGGGCCTCCACCCCGGCCAGCTAGACACCATGAAGTCCAGCGGCCCTGTGGAGAGGCTGCTCAGAGCTCTGGGGAGGAGGCACAGCAGCCGGGCCACCAGCAGGGTAGGAGTGCCCCCTGGGTGGGCAGCGGAGGGGCAGGGGTGGAGGTGTGGGCAGTGGGGGAAGGGCAGGATTCAGGCTGAACCCGCTTCCGGATTTCAGCTCCCTCAGCCCTCTCCCCTTGGCATGCACCCTCACCGCTCTGTCCTTCTGGGGTGGCCAGGTCTGCGGCACACACAGCAGAATCTGGCGTCCCTTTCAGTCCTCTCTTGCCTCCCCTGCTTCAGCCTGGGGCAGCCCTAGGAGTTCTGGCACCCCAAAACTGTGGCAAGGGCTAAGAGATCAAGCCCCTTCCCTGGACAGAGAATGTGGGGGGAGTGGGGTAGGGATGAGGAAAGAAGGTAGGGAGAAAGCGGGGTCTCCAGAGTGCTGTCAGTCCTGGGGCTTTGGTGCCTACCGACGTCATGTGTATGCGGTCGAGGTCAAGGTGCACCCAGCTGTCCTGTGGGCCTGGCAAGACTGGCCCAGCCCAGAGGAGTTCAGGCTGGGTTTCATCCAGGTGCTTCGGGAACACCCAAGACCAGAGGTGGTGCCTGGGCCCGCCCCAGGCTGGGGGGCTAAGGCTCATCACCCTTGCCCCACATTTTCTCAGCCTTACCCCAGAGACAGCGCAGGATGATGTGAGACAATACTTGGGGGACGTGGGAGGGGGCAGAACTTGAACTCCCCAGGGGAAAAATAGGTAGAAAAGAAGCAGAGGTGGCCCCAGAGGCCGGGAGGGGCCCACGCTCAAGGGATGGCCCCGTCGGCCTGCGCAGGGGCACTCCAGCCTCCCGCCCCTCTGCGCCTCTGGCTGCCCGCTGCACCCAGCAGGGCAGCTGGCCCTCCCCGCCTTCATCCAGTGCTGGCACCCCACCTGAACCCGCTGAGTGATGGGCGTTCGCCACACCCAGAGGGAGCCGTGGCTGAGTCTCTGCCCCCGCGTCAGCCTCCGTCCGCCCCTCTGCAGCCGCCAGCTCCCTCGGCGCTGCCGCCCCAGCGCACAGGAGTAAACCTGTCCCGAGCTCGGGGATGGGGCACAGCAGCTGCCTAAAGCGAGGGACGGCAGAGGCCGGGGAGCTGGGCCGCTGCATCAGGCTGGACGCTGGACGGCACTGCCTGACCGCCACCTACCTCCATGTCTGCGCCATCCTCCGGTGCCCCCCCCCCAGAGAGCCTCCGTCAGGGGAGGGCAGGATGGGAGAGATACAGGGGACCCTCAGAGGGCACCCCCTCTCAGGAGGAAAGTTCTAGGGTTGGGGTGGTAGTGACCACAAGAGCATCCCACCAGGGCCACGGGAGGGGCCTAGCAAGCCCCCAGGGAGGAGCTGACCCAGCCCGGTGACGCAAGGGGCCAGATGCCCCGGAGGGGACGGTCCTGCCGCTGCCCGGAAGCAGCTGAGGCCAAGTGCGTCTTACAAGGCTGGGCCGTCCGGGGATGGAGGAAGGAAGGAGCCGGCGCAGTGCTGAGGCCCGCGCGCCGCCGCTGAGGCCTGTCTGTCTGTCCCTGCACCGCCAGCCTAGGAAAGCTGAGCCACACAGCTTCCGGGAGAAGGTTTTCCGGAAGAAGCCACCGGCGTGTGCGGTGTGTAAGGTGACCATCGATGGGACAGGCGTCTCCTGCAGAGGTGAGGTGCCATGCCGTGGCTGCTCCGGCGGGCACGCTCAGAACACCAGCATGCTGCCCATGCTTCCCCGGACCGGACACTGGAGCCAAGAGGCCACTGCCTTGGCCAGATAGCCCCTGCTCCAGGGCAGACTCCCCAGCAGCCCAGAAGATCTGCCCTCACTGGCTGGTGGCTGGGTTTCCTCTCCTCCCCCTCACCCCACCTCAGCCTCCCTAGAACTTTGTCCCTGGCTCCCTCGCTGGCCTGGGTACCCCACTGCCATTCTCTCCCCTTGGCCACACCAGCCAGCCAATGCAGCTGGAGTCCTGGGGGTCCCAGGATCTGGTTTCAGGGCTTGGGGGGCCATCCCTTCCATTTCCCTAGCGACCCTTGCTAACCCCTCCCTTCCCTCTCCCCCTCTAGTCTGCAAGGTGGCAACACACAGAAAATGTGAAGCAAAGGTGGGTCCTTGGTGGGGACAGGGCTGGGGCCCCTTCCTCCCCTTTGACACCGGCTTCTCTCATCACAATGGCGTCAGCGCTCCACCCGCTCCACCTGCTCGCCATGGGGGAGAGGGTGCTGTACTGGGCCCTTTAAGAACCTCCCTACTCCACCCCCTGGGGGCTGGCCCAGGCAGTGGACAGCTAGACAGCGTTTGTCTTGGTGCAGTGCCCAGGCTGCAGCTGGCGAGAGGATGGGGGAGGAGAATGAGGAGG